TTTTTATGCACAATGTACAGAATCTAGATTCTTTCCAAGTTGGCATTCAAGGATCCACAGTTAACTTGATGAACATGAAAGAATTTGTGGTTTTTCAACTGGGGTTGGGTCTTTTTACTTAAAGGTACAACTTTTTATGCACAATGTACAGAATCTATCATCTTTCCAAGTTGGCATTCAAGGATCCATAGTTAATGTGATGAACCTGAAAGAATTTGTCTCTTTTTTACTCAAAGGTACAACTTTTTTTTTTGAAGTATATAATATTTATAACGGCAAATGCAACAAATAAACTCACATACCCTCCTCACCTTTGGTGAGGTTTGAACCCTTGACCTCCTAGGAAGCCAAGGGCTACGATACCGCTAGGCCGAAAGCCCTTTGGTCTCAAAGGTACAACTTTGTATGCACAATGTACAGAATCTATCATGTTTCTAAGTTGAAAGGATCCAGAGTTAACTGGATGAACATGACAGAATTAGTGGTTTTTGAACTGGGATTGTGTCTTTTTTGCTTGAGGTACCACTTTTTATGCACAATGTACAAAATCTATCATCTTTGCAAGTTGACAGTGAAGTATTCACAGTTAACTTGAACATGAGAACATCAAGAAATTTTATGGTTTTTTGAACTGGGTTCTCTCTTTTTCACTCAAGGTACCACCTTTACTGCACAACGTACATAATCTATCATCTTTGCAAGTTGGAATTCAAGAATCTATATTTAACTTGCCATAAAAGGTTAATGAACATGAAAGAATTTGTGGTTTTTGAACTCGGGTTGTCTCGTTTTTACTCAGGTACAACTTTTTATGCACAACATACAGAATCTATTATCTTTGCAAGTTGACAGTGAAGTATTCACAGTTAACTTGATGAACATCAAGAAATTCATGGTTTTTTGAACTGGGGTTCTCTCTTTTTCACTCAACGTAGCGTTTGGTACACTGGACCGGACTTGACAGAACAGAAAAAGAATCATTGTTCTATGTTTGACACGCCTGTTCCACCTCCTCCCCATGGAACAAGATGGAACAAACATATATTTTACCAATATAACCTCAAAATAAAACCTAATCCTCTTCTAAAACATCAAATATAGCTTCTTACATCGTATTCATTCTTTAAATTTTACTTATTGTATTTTATACTCAATAAACTTTCACTTTACTATCATCAAAATATTAGTTTTATACGGTTTTTATATTTTGGTTAATTTAATGTAATTTATTAAATATCAATAATAAAAAGATAACATATAAACGGTATAAAATAAAAACTACATAAACTTTTTCTTTTGGTGTCATTTTAATCGTCTTGACGAAAATTTTCTAATGATATATTTTGTTATATAAATATTTATTTTATTAATTTAATAAATCACATAAATTAATCAAAAAATATAAACAACTCATTAGAGGTAAATTGGTTATTTTATTTGTTCTGTCATGTCCAGTTCTGGCTTACCAAACACTGAACAACTGTTCAACCTTGTCCTGCTCTGTCCTGTCTTTTCCTATCCTATCTGGATACCAAACGCACGCTTAATGCACGATGTCCATGCAAGAATCCACAGTTAACTTCTCCTAAAAGGTTTATGGACAAGAAATAATTTGTGGTTTTGGAAACTGGGGTTGTATCTTTTTTACTTTTATGCACAATGTAGAGAATCAATCATCTTGCAAGTTATAATTCAAGAACAGCAGGTACAACTTTTCATGCACAAAGTACAAAATGCAAGAAGAGAGTTGTTAGTTCTTACCCAATCTACCAAGCATCCTTTGTCTTTGCAAAGCGGCGGACGTCCACTGATTATTTCCAACAGAAGAACACCAAAAGCATAAATGTTACCCTGGATGTCTAACTGCCGTCCTTCCAATGAACTCGGGAGAACACAAACAGCACCCTCGTTGCTAATACATCGTGAGTTATTTTCCGATCTTGTAAGAATCGTTTTCCAACTTTCAAAATCGACTAGCTACAAGAACAAGAAAAACACAACTCAATAAACCCAACCAAAGAATCATCTTCTATATCAAGATGTAAACAAGATGGCACTTAACGATACTAGAAAAACATAGGACCAAGCTCCATTAGAGGTTTAGCGTATACCTTCGGTGAAAAATCTTCTGTGAGATATACCGCACTAGAGTTCAGCTCGGATATGGTAAACGGTGGTTCAATTTCCGTGTGAAGATACTTTAGACCTTTTGCAATACCTATAACAATCTTCATTCTTCTTGTCCAGCTTAGTTGGCATCCTTCTTCATCTAAAGTAAAACAAAAGCACAACACTTTAGTCATTGAGATGATACGGCCCGTGGGCATATTCAAAACCCAGTTTAGGGTTTAGGGTTTAGACTTACAATGGAGGTGCTCGTACAATGTCCCATTTGATGCATATTCAAAAACCAACATTCTTGTAAATGGAGTATCATCTATACAATAGCCCAGCAGTTTCCCGGTGTTCTCATGATTTAGCCTTGCTAAATCTGCCACCTGAATTTTTGGAAGAATTTAAAAGCAAAAAAGAAAGATCTAAAGAGTTGCAATACACAAAATTTTCGGTTTCTTGTTATTTGTGAGGTATGTGGAAACCCATTAGATTACGCTGCAAAAGACCCCTTGAGGAGAAAAAGGTGGATCCTACATATAAAGAGGTGGAAAGGTGTCTAGCCAATGTGCGTCAAGTCCCTAAATGTGCTCTGATACCATGTGAGATTTATGGAACCTCATCATATAACATATTACTCTCTAACAGAGCACTTGAGAAGGAGGTTCCGACATATATAGAGGTGAAAGGGACCCTGTCTAGGCAATGTGGGACTCTAACACGCTCCCTCAAATGGAGGCAAAAGAATGTGTCTAAGTCCCTAAATGTGGTAGACCCCCGCTTTGATACCATGTGAAATATATGGATTATGGAACCCCATCAGATTACTCTCCAAAAGAGCCCTTGAGGAGAAAAAGGAGGTTCTATGAAGGGGATTGTGTCTAGCTGATGTGGGACTCCAATAATCCCCCGGAGGCAAAAGAGGGTGTCAAGTCCATAAATGTGGTAGACTTGGCTCAGATACCATGTGAGATATATGAATTATGGAACCCCATCAGATTAGTCGAGCCCTTGGAGAGAGAGAGGGAGGTTCCCAACATACATAACGAGAAAAAAACCGTGTCTAGTTGACGTGGGACTCCTACATTATTTGCTTTACCTCTTTCTGATAATAGAGCTCAAGATAGCCACTCCAATGCTCTTCTTTGATGCAAAGAGATATCACCGCAATTTCCGGTCCACCTTTCATGGTGCCTTTGTAAACTAGGCTATCCGATGAGGACCCGATAATGTTACTAAAATCTTCACATGCGACTTCAAGTTCATGTCGGTTGTATCTCATCACGTCCTTCAACATATTCGGATCTACATACAATTACCGAACAAACATGAATACAAACGTCATTGTAATCATGCTCCTATATGCAGTGACATCCATGCCCAGTCGGTAGACATGGGTATTTTCGTAATTGAGCAAGTTTCCAACAAAAATTTCTTCAAAATAACTTTAACATTTTATCTTGAATAATAAAAACACCTTTGCAAGTTTGTTTATAATGATTTTTATATTATCAAGGGAAGTGCCTCCTCACCGGTAAAGATTGCAATATGGTCTCTTTCACTTGCGGATTTCTTCCAAGGGATGATAATTGACGGTTTGTTTTTGCATCTATGACACGTTGTGAAAAGGGCAACAAGAAAGAGAGAACCGACCATTATTCCGGTCACTACTTCTAGAGCTAGAACCCATGACGGTTTCGAATCAGAAGCCGATTGGTTGTATGCATCTGTAGCAGGATGGTGCTTCGTCTCTCCGAATTTATGGGATTTAGCCGGTGGAGCCACACCTATACCCATTAAAAAACCTGTCACTTTTAGTTTTGATAACAATACAAGAATTCATTCAACTAACAACATAGAAACTAGCCATTCGAGTCCGTTCAAGGCTACTAGGAATTTTCTTGGTTGTTATCTCCAGGCCTCATGGGATAAAAAGTTGATTGGGTTCAAATTAGGGGCAGGTAATGTCATCCCCGACCCTGCTTCATGTACGAAAATAAATCCCCGCCCCGTTACCCGTCAAACCGAGGAATCTCCGCCCCATCAGGGTCGGGTACCCGCCCCAACAGGTAAATTTTCCATCTCCATTGGCAAGCTGGCGAGGACACCCACGTTTAGAAGAAAAAAACAACATCAAGACGTACCACATTGTTCGGAAGTTCGTTGTTTGATATCTTTATATGGTAGACAATTCCCTTGAAAGCTCGTCCTGCAACAACAAGAAAACAAAATGAGAACGAGCAAGCAAGAAAGATCATGCAACGGAATACACAAAGAAATGACAAGATATACCTAGGGAGGTACCCCAAGCACTTAGGTATGCTCCCACTAAGGAAGTTGTACGAGAAATCTGCAACTTTTAAGGAAGCCGAACGACAAAAACCTAATCTAGTCGCATTTGAGGCATACCTGAACCAACAAAATCATCATATTAGAGGTGTATATTGGAATGGCCAATGAAAGTAAAACTCAAGAAACTTGGTTGACACGACATAGAAGATATCGTGAGCTTTCTATTTGTAAATTTCACATGCACATTTGCTAGGTTTATAGTTACCGAGACCATAATCAATTGTGTGAGGAAAATGAAAGCAAACACGTGTCTAGAAGCGGAAAGAGAGTAAACCAAACAAGCCTAGTATATCCCACCCAGAAGTGGGATTCGGGAGACGGATAAGATGTATGCGGACCCAACCTCTACCCTAACGGTCAGTGAAGACCCGCGCCTTGTGAAAAGCATGTGGAACGGAAAAAGTTAGCCCAAAAAGGTTTTGGGAAAAAAAACAAATACGATATATTTTGAAAATTTTGTAAAGGGTAAGCAACAACATACAAACAGAAGCACGTACAAGAAAACACAGCCAAATTAAGGAAATTAAGGGCTATTTAGCTTAATGACCTACTCCAAAAGCTTGTTTTGCTAAATGACCCTCTAGTGTATTTCTAAGTTTTTACGGGGGCAAACTGTTTTGAACCGGGGCAGGTCAGATGAAGGCCATTGAATTAAGTTCTTTAGAGAATGTAACGCCCCAAAAACAATGGAAACAATAATCTACTTACATTCCTTGCATGTTGGAAACAAAATCCGAAGCATTGGCACCCGGAACGGATCCTCGCAACTTATTTCTATCCAACCGAAGCTCTCGAAGGTTCTTAAGATTTCCAAGCTCCGAAGGCAATTGTCCAATCAATCCATTCGACTGCAGGTTTCTGAACCAACACAAACGAGCTTCACATGTAAGAGAAACTTGTATAAAGATGGTGAAAACCTAAGTTTTCGTTTGACATGATTAAGTTCCTGGTGGCAAAAAAGACTTACATTATAACAATGCTAACCAAATTCCCGATTTCATGAGGAATCGGTCCAGATATCTGGTTCATCCCCAAATCTAGAATTTTCAGGTCCTTCAGTGATCCAATTTCTTTTGGTATTGAACCAATGAGTTTGTTGCCATGTAAAATCCTACAAGAAAAACCATTTCTGAATAAAGTTTTGATTTTTATCATGCTCTTGAATATAAAATAAGATGTTGAAAGGAAACATACAGTTCTTGTAAGGAAGAAAGCTGAAACAGCTCCCGAGCAATGAATCCCGTTATAGATGAGCCAGAAATGTTCCTGGAGAAGAAAATTTACAATCCTAATTAGATTCTTTACATGTATCATGTCTTAACTATATAAGTTTGATGTACAACTTCCCTCATGACAAGACAGGACAGGATTATGGTTCACAATTGTGTGCACATAATGGGTGATTTTTTTTCTTGCTAACCGCACGTGTCCAGGTTAGCGTGTGCGCACCTCAACTAATCCCATGTGGCCCTAAAGATAATAGACGGGAAAAAGTCCCCCGTGTCCCTAAGGAGACTCGAACTGGCGACCTATGAGTCAAAGGTGGTCTAGCTTTTATTTCACTTTAGACTTGAACAAAAATTCCATCAGAATCCCGAACCATCATCCCTACTTTCCTAGGAGACGCCCGAGCACCCGCATAATTACGTAGTTGTTCATCTAACTATTTCTTGACGTTATTGAAATTGGTCAAAAATATTGCCTAAAATTGTCATCATCAATAAGTTTCCATGGATACCAACTACCAAGAGTCAAAACAATTTCATAAAGACCAAGTCAAACTTCAATTATCTTCATGGGAAAGATAATTGATGAGGTATCAAATGAGACAACTTGCAATTATTTACACTCTCAAAATGGTCTTTGAAGTGGACTGGAAACTTAAAATAATGCACCGAAAAGTCAAAGAGACAATTGCTTACAGCTTGGTCACTTGATCTCCAGAACAGGAAACACCAACCCAGTTACAAGGATCTGAATCTAATGCATTCCAGCTTGATAAAACCGATAACGGATCATCAAATATGCCTTCTTTGAACATAGATAGAGAATGAACTGCAAAATTCAAGAAAATCTGTATGATTTGAGTGATTTGGATACAAACCCACAAAATAAAGATTATAAAAACCTCAAATGGTCAAAACTTTAGTGGTTTGACAGTTAAGGGTTGTTCAAGAAAATGAAAGCAGAATTCAAGAAAACTCAAACGATTTGGGTGATTTGCATACAAATCCCCAAATTAAAGATCTTGCCCTAATCAAAATTTCTCAAAAGTAGAATCTACATTGCTAAAGGTTATCCTCAAATGGTCATAATTTTTGAGATTTGATAGTTAAGGTTGTTCAAGAAATGAACTTCAGAATTCAAGAAAACTTGAATGATTTGGATACAAACCCACAGATTAGAGATGTTTCCCTAATCAAATTTCTCAAAAGTGGAATCTACATTGCTAAGATTATCTTCAAATAAGATTATAAAACCCCCAATTCATCATAATTTTAATGATGTGATAGTTAGAGAATGAACTGCAAAAACTCAGGAAAACTTGCATGATTTGGGTGATTTTGGATACAAACCCACAAAATAAAGATCTTTCCCTAATCAAATTTCTCAAAAATAGAATCTACATTGCTAAGATTATCTTCACTCAAGATCATAAAAACACCAAATGATCTAAAACTTCAATGATTTGATAGTTAGGGTTGTTCAAGATCTGTGCAAAACTACAAACCAAATGAAGTTTTCATACCTTGAATTGGTTGAGCAGCATCACAATTAGTGATAAAGAGTCCAAAAGTAATCAAGATGAGTTCAAATGGAATCAATCTCTTCATCTTCTCTGCAAACTCCTCTTCTCTCTACAACACTAGCAACTCCTCAAATCATAAATCTCCAAAAACTTACCCAAAAACCCATAAACAAGAGAGGAAAAACTGAATCAAGAATCTGGAGAACAATGGTTAAATAAACAGTATTTTTCAAATAAATTCAGAAACAGCCAAAAGGGTGGTTCAAATCTCTGAAATCTTTCAGAAACCCTGAAACCAAATCAGTAGAAAAATCTCAGTGGGTGAAGTTATAGAGATTGAAGCAACCCCCAGTTCAAGAAAACTTGGATTCAAAGAAAGGTTTAATGGCAGACTGAGACTGGCAGCAAAATACTTCAAGAATTATGCTTTTTTTAATGGGAAAAAACAAACAGATCAAGAATCACAGATGAGCAAAGATCAAGAATCAAAAATGTAGAAAATGCAAAAGTGGGAATTTCTTGAAATAAAGTGGGAATGTTTTGTTTAATTTCAGCTGTTAAATCGAAAGCAAAAGTGGACTAAAAAGGTATCGTATTCAAGAAAGTGGGGAAGAAGGTGGGCTTGGAGTGCCGTAACAGGTTTTTAACCTTCACTGCTGAGATCATTGCTTCTAATGTAATTAATTTTAATCATTAAGTTATTAAAACAATGCATAATGTAATGATTAGTGTGTGTTAATTAAATTAAATAAAACATAAAAAAATTAATTCTTGGGAAATAAAATAAGCACATAGATTTAGTACCAAAAACTCTTGATCAAAGGGTTCATGATTGATAATATGGATTCAACTTGTGAAAACATTCAATGATTACTTGATCAAATAGTCAAACGGTTGGTTCAATGAATTCAAATATAAAATTAAATAAGTTCAAATTTATCAAAATAAAAATGCAATTAAATTTGTTTTAATGCATCTCTAAGGATTATGTTCAAATAAAGATTTTAGAATTTAGATTTTTTTTTGCTTTTTAACAACTATGTTATAATGAATGTTAAACTAAAAAATAAATAGAAAATATCTGGTTAAAATCGCCCCAGAGGGGGATCCTGGGGTAGGTGGGGGCGATATCCCTTTTTCAGATAAATATTTTATTGTTGTCCTTCAAATCAGATACATGTGAGACATCTTCCGTACTTTTTTGGTGAAATCACCCCCCATATAATCAAATCATCCAAGAGGGCAATCTAGGTAGTTATTTTGTTAATGTATCAAGTATAAAATGGTTGTTTTGGTAATTTATCCTTGTTTTAATTGCTTTCGTTAATGAGGCTAAGTGTTTTTTTTTTTGTGAATGTTCGGCTTCTTTTACTTTCATAGCGTTTTGCTGTGAAGTTTCAAATGTAAAAAAATGGTCTCACAAAAACAAACAGATCTCACGTGAACCAAACCCTATATATATATATATATATATATAGTATTGATTGGTTAATTTTATTGGATCATATCATAAACCCACTTGCTTTCGTATTCATTTCGTTTTCAGGTCATGTTGGAATAATAAGAACAAGTTTAATTGACAATTAAATTTTAATATTGTTTTTGGTGAGATTTAATTCTATTTATTTGCTAATTTTGGGAAATTATTATTAGGATTAATATTTAATACACAAGAGACAAGACCCATATACTATTAAGCATTCATGACTTTGAGATGAAGCATATGACATGTAGGGACAATGATAAAGCAATTTGAATGCATAATGTACCAGGGCTTTTTGGTCTTTCTATTATTCTTAGAACCCCCCCCCCCCCCCCCCCTTTTTATATATTTTTTAAAGTAAACTACAAATTTGGTCCCTGTGGTTTGTAAAAGAAACACTTTTCATCCCTTAAATTTTGAAATCTACAAGATAATCATCATAGTTTGTAAAAACGTCCAGTTTTGATTATTGATTCTAACGACTGTAAAAATTTTCGTTAAATGATGAGAATTTTTGTTTCTTAACCAATCAAAATCGATTTTATGATCTGATCTCTAGGGTTTTTGATTGGTTAAAGGACAAAAGAAGATAAAAAACACTGAAAATGTCCCTTATTTAACAAAAAAAAATCACGATCGTTAGAGGGATGAACCAAATCTGTTCCATTATTGCAAACCATGATAGTTATTTTGTAATTTTAAAACTATAAGGATGAAAAGTGTTGTTTTTATAAACCCCAAGGACCAAATTTGTAGTTTACCCTATTTTTTTATATTGGAGTTGGTACTCAATTGTTTATAATCATGTCATAACAAACCTTCATTAATTTATAACAAGTTTATTGAAAATAATAGTATTTTTTTGAAGTCTTTTTTTTTAATTTGAAAAATATCGTTACCGAGTAAACTATAAGGGTGGTATTTGATTGGTTTGAGTTTGAACTCCAAAGGTCAAAAGTATCTGGAGATCTCAGGTTTAAATCCAAGTAGGAATAAAAACCCTCTTGAGGCCATGGAGGTTCAAATGCGGTGATTCCAGGCTACCCGTAAAGCAGGTGGTCGACAAGGGATTAGTCGACTCGTATAGCAGGTTGGATATTCAGGTTAATAAAAAAAAACATACCGAGTAAAAATGTTATAAAAAAGTCGACATGTGAGATTTCACAACTGTTACGCAACTTGTGAGAGATACTTTTTATGAATAAAATATGATTCTGGTGGGTCATTTCGCAAAGCCACATAGGAGATTTCACAAGTCAACAAGACAGTTTGCAAGCCTTCGCGCCCATTCTGCAAGTCGTTGCGCCAGTTTTACAAGTCAACCCCACCAAAATCATATTTAGTTACCAAAAGGCCTTTGGCCTAGCAGTATGCAAGTTTTTGATCTCCTAGGAGACCAGTGGTTCAAACCTCACCAAAGATGAATAGGGTTTGTGAGCTTATTTGTTCTATTTACCACATATAATGTATTTTTTAATATTTTATTATTATAACTACTTTTAAATTATTTTTTATTAAGGTAATATATTTTTAAAAATCTCTCAATTTATAACAATAAAAATATGTAGTTTTGATTGGGCCCATTTACTTGTTTGGGGCCAGGCCCAATTAATATTAATACTTGGGCTTCACTATTCCAAAGTCCAAACATATGAATATGAATCATGATTCCATGAAAGCTCATTTTTAACTTGGATGATTTGTGTTTTTATGCTTACAGCTCGTTTTTTACTAAATGTTTACCGGGTAACTATTAATGAACAAAAGTTATTACTGTCATTTATATATCAGGTAACATTTTCGGTCATCAAAATTGATTGTTGGTAAACGTCTTTCACCTGATAAGAGTTAACCGAGTAAGATTCTTCTTCCTTACTTATCGTGTAAGATTCTCGGTTCTTGTTATGCCTCTTACTGGGTAAGATTCTCGTTCATTATCATACTCACTCCATAAGGTAAGCAACACCCGGTAAAACGCTTACCCAATAAACATTTTGAAAACGACCCTTTAATGTACCCTTGTGTAGGGGTGCTCATGGATTGAGTTGATCGGGTTGAAGACATTTGAATAGTCCAACCCAATGTTTGCGTTTTAAAAAATCTTAATTCAAATCAACCCAAACCATACGGGTTGGTGGGGTTGATACTTTGGTACATTAAAATATTCTTCTAACCTTAATATGTTATTTTTCTATTCATATTTTTTTTTCATCATCAACTATTTGATACAACTTATCTATATTTCTTATATATATCACATTCAGTTAATTTTCTCAATTTACATATATATGTTCACAGTTACTGAACATATATGCGAATGAGTTACATAGAGATGTGAATATATTGAAAATATGTGCATATGAAGAGCGTACGTGATAGTGTAACTGTCTAATGTATATATTAATAGAAATTCAACAATCATATTAAATCCAAGAAACAAAAAGATATCGGGTTGAATTGAGTTCAAATAATAATAACCCAATACATAGAATTTGAAAATTTTACAACTCGATTAGACATCGGGTTCTTCGGGTTGAGTTATTTCGCATTGGGTCGAGTTAATTTTCACTTGAAAAGCTGAATCCTTAACTCTGCTGGGACGTTTTTCTCTTCATTCAAAGATCATAAACATATTTGTATACATGTATGCGTTTTTCTTCGTCTCCTAACTACACGTGTTTCTCTTTATTTCGTCATATATATTTTTCTTCGTTCTTCGTTTCTTTTTTTTTTTCTTTTCCCTTTTTTTATTCTGAAACAGGTATTTGACACTTGAATTTTAGATACTGTTTTTATATGAAATAATAGTTCGTTGTATTAAACTAAGGGTCTTGACTGTTTTTATGACATTCCGTTAATAAATCTCAAAATCAACAGAGATCGATATTGTGTGATACATGCCTGATTGAGTTTGATGTATACTTGACGACAGTAGAGATGAAGAAGATACAAATAAAGATGACATAAAACAAGATGTGTTTTAATCTGGTTGTTGTTAGAAAATCATCTGACAAGAAAGAGAATCATAGTCATTTTGTTAGAATCAGTTACTATTATTATTATAATCATTATTGTCCTCTACCCTATTGAGCATAGTCATGGGTATGCATAATTGTGTTTTTATGATCATTGGTGGATATACTGAAAATGCTAAAAAGAACTGTTGATTACTTCAACAGTAATAACTCAGTAAGGTGAAATACTACTGATAGGCTATGATGGATTCGGCGAGAAAGACAATGATACTGTTGACTATCATCCAACAAATAATGTCTACACTATAATGCGTAATCGTGTCTTTATCTGAGTAACGACATCTACTATTTTAATCAGATTTCCCTTAAAACCAGGCATCTTCCAACATGTGGGTCACACCATTCTCGACCATGTAGCATATCACTGATATCAGTTTAGAAGGAAAAAAAAATTCAATAACTGATGTAGAGGTTGATAGATGTGATTACTCCCCCTTTTGATTGCAATGTAGACTGGTTTTAAAATACGATTTAAATTTATTAATACTATATAATACATATTACCCCACTCCTTTCTTAACTTGGAATCATGTGAGACAAGATTTTTACACTTGAAACTTCAAAGCA